TACACAGTATCCAAACACTTTATACAAACAAAAAATAATGAGTATCGAAAATTAAATGTTTGAAGATTTGTACAGTAAAGTTCATGTATACCCACAACACACCTGCATCAAACTTGCCAATTAAACCTTTGGTAAGTTCATGTATACCCACAATGCACCCGAAGTAGGTGCCTATATCTCAAACACTTCCTTTCAACCAATGTAAATGTTTAATGACTCTTTCACTGAGTGTACAATGTTTTATCTGTCCTGTAGACCTCGGCCACTGCCATATCGATAGAACCGTGTCATGGTGGCAGAGCAGCCGTCTTATCTTTACTCATGAGGCTGCCAGCTTCAGAAGGAGGTTATGCACCAGCTGGTTATAATGGTCTTATAGTAGGCAGTGCAATAGTGCAAGTAAACCCAAAGAAAGGCTCAGAAGGAAAAGATAAAAATACAAGTAGACAACGGAAAGGTCATCCTCACAGACCTGTACCCAATGGTACAAATTGTGTGTAGCATACTTAATAAGTCCTTGCATCACTGAAATGATATAAATATTACTATCATAACTCTCTGCTTTGATTCTCAGGTTCTCACACCCTTGGGTTCATATGCCACTTGGTTTCAACCTGGATGTCTTTCAATAACTGTTCTTTAGAATTAACACTACCAGTATTAGTTAACACTTACCAATACGCAAATAAAGCACCTTGCATATGGTAGATATTCCCAGTCTGAAACTTGATAGAAATTATTCAGGGATAGATTAGAAGAAGTTATTGGAATATATGTTTGTAAATATCACACAATTTTTGTAGCTGTGGAAACTTCACTGTTCACAATGACTTGTCATGAACACCCCTTTCCTCAATTGTCACATTTCCAGCAAGAATAATTTGCAGCAGCCATTTGAAGCCATCCATTCTCGCCCCCGCCCAGATTCTCTGATAAACATTTGCGAATTCAACTCTAAACACAGCGTAGTGAATTTTCAGTGATGTCAGGACGCAATTTTTTTTGCTTGTAATATATACAGAGTTTTTATATAAAAACATAAAGTGAATTGTACTTAAATATTTATGGTGAATCTGATTTTTAAAATTAAACAGAAACAAGTGCAGAAAAGACAAATTTATATATAGCACACATTTTTGCAGTTATCATGTTTTTATTAAAATCTATCGTGAGCAAATTAATGAAAAGCATACAAATAATGGTGGAATGTTGTATGTATATTATTCCTATATAAACCAGGGTCTGCTGTGTCATACCATGTACTCAATTGAGTTTTTTTTATACTTTAAAAAAAAAATCACATGTTATGCAATCTAAGATTTGAATCCATATCAGATGTTAGTTTCAGTATTCCATTCTTTGAAGAAATCTTAGCAGGTATGCTGAATGCGGTGATCACATCCTTGTCATTTTAAGAACGCTATAAACAAGATTACAACTGTATGCGGTGTAGATAACATCCTCGTCATTTTTAGAATGCTATAAACAGGATTACAACTGTCTCTAGTATATTTTTTTCTGAACCATATTATTTTTATGTATATGCAGATTTTCATTTTTAAATGAAGGCAAAGTTTGTACAATGGTTATTGTGAGGATAGTGTAAAGTGCTTCTAAAGATTGTATACCAGAAGTATCAGCTGACATGAAGTAGTAGTTGATATGACGGTACACTGTCCCTATGAACACTATTCTCTCAAGAACCATATTATTATACCTTTTTTTTTTCAAAATTACAAGGATAGTCAGTGAAACTACTTTGTGAAAACATTAAATCTGCCCAGGGAAAATTTCAGTCATAACCACATGTTATAAATTGAATGTTCAAACGAAGATGCCTTGTAAAATATGTGACACTGGGATTTTGTTAATTCCAAACCCTGCTACTGTTAATCCCAGTATTATGGCACATGTCTGTATAACAAAAGGATATAGTCACAAAAATATCCAAGCATCAAAACTGTTTACAGTGTGTACATGAATACATACCTTACTTTTGCAGATATTCATGTCAATACTGGATATCTAATTATCTGGTCTGTGGTACACAAATATTAGGCTGTTGAAAATGTTTGTCTAATCCACAGTTCCTGAATTGAGAGACTGTGCTTAAACTAGAGTATTGATAACTCTGCAAACAGCCACAAATTGTAATTGAATTATGTCTGGGGAAATTGAATCATAATACAGACATTCATATTGCACAGCACCATGAATTACTCAACTGGTAATAGATTCCTAATGCAATCAGTTGTTTGCTTTTGTTTTGCAATACGAGTTTTGATAAATACACAGGTCCAAAAAAAAAAAAAAAAATATTTGATGCATGTGTTAAAACACACTCATCATATCAAAACTTTTACAAACTATTACCCAATACTACAAATCGTATACTATTGTATTTTGGGCTCTTAATTGAAACTCTGCATGCACATAGTGGGATTCTGGAAAATCTTCACACCTTGAGGAAATAATGTACACTATACACTCACAATGAATACATGCTCATTAAAGATTCTGCCTTTGTGTTTTTTCTATATCCATCCATCCAGGTTATATGCCAAACTGGTTGGGTCAAATTACATAACAGAAGAAGAATGCAAACAAAAATTTGATGTAAATATTTAATAATGAAAATATTTGTTGTACAGATTTCTAAAATAGACATCAGTCGTAGAATAGTTGTAACAGTGCCCGAACTTGTAAATGCATTTTTATTTAAAAACATTTTAAAGAAAGTAATTATTTTGTAAAAAAGAAAATTTGCCAATATTGAAAAAAATAAAATACTTGAATGAATTGTTTTGTGTACTATATCAGCGTCTTGATCAGTATGATATATGTATGTGGGCTGTGGAGTCTTTTTTTTAATTAAACAGTGTGCCTTGCCTCTTCAGGTACATCTGAACAAATGACGATGAAAGTCAATAGGCAGCTCTCAACACACATAACGATTGGTTGCTGATCCTAAGAGATCTGAAGACATGTTGCAGTCATTTAGTCGATCATGCATGCCTGCTAGACTGAAACCTTCAATGATAACTTCTAAGTCGAGATGCAGGACAATCAGTATAATTTGACTACTCTATGGGATCTTGGCAAAACATGCACAGTACTATATCCTCTATGGGATCTTGGCACAACATGCACAGTACTATAGAATTTTAATAGTGACTGCATCCTCTGCACAGTACTGGAAATCAGTTACTATATCATCTATGGGATCTTGGCACAACATGCACAGTACTATAGAATTTTAATAGTGATTGCATCCTCTGCACAGTACTGGAAATCAGTTACTATATCCTCTATGGGATCTTGGCACAACATGCACAGTACTATAGAATTTTAATAGTGACTGCATCCTCTGCACAGTACTGGAAATCAGTTACTATATCCTCTATGGGATCTTGGCACAACATGCACAGTACTAAAGAATTTTAATAGTGACTGCATCCTCTGCACAGTACTGGAAATCAGTTACTATATCCTCTATGGGATCTTGGCACAACATGCACAGTACTATAGAATTTTAATAGTGATTGCATCCTCTGCACAGTACTGGAAATCAGTTACTATATCCTCTATGGGATCTTGGCACAACATGCACAGTACTATAGAATTTTAATAGTGACTGCATCCTCTGCACAGTACTGGAAATCAGTTACTGTATCCTCTATGGGATCTTGGCACAACATGCACAGTACTATAGAAATTGTGAGTAATCAACCCTTAGTTTCTGCATTGTATCTCAAATGACATTAACCTTGTTTATGTCACTTTGCCCATGCAAATTGATTCTAAAACAATATTTTTGTAAGATTTGGCCATATTTATGTGTTTATATTTAAACAAACAATGTTCAAAATCAAAGCTATTGTCGCTTTAAGATTAGCATATTTAACAAGAATCCTGTTAGGTGAGCATAAAACCGCAATTTTTAAGATGTATAAAGTAGATAAGTACTTATCTATATTCAATATCAAAGCAATGCAACTTGTGGTTTTCAAGAAGTTGAAAATATCACTTTTTAGCAAAAATATTTATTCAAAATTGGAGATTTGAAGATAATGTCATAAAATTACTAGTAACTAATTTACAGAAATCCACTTGAGATGCCTAAATACTAAATTTTTTAAGATGAAAAAACTTTTTACCAAAAATATTCATCAAACATTAGAGATTTGTAGATATAGTCACGTATGAACAAATTTGAAAGGTAAACCTGAGGTTATGTATAATATCAAAACAATTGGACCTGCAGTTTTTAACAAATATTTTCATCAAAATTAGGGAAATATAAATGATATAAAGTAATGCAGGGCTAGCAGTTTTTAAGAATAAGTGGGAAATGTAAAACAGACAATCAGTTATATAATCTGCACTTGTCTTCGTCTACAGCATCAATAAAAATGGCAGTCAGTTAGCCAACAAAACGACATGCACCAGTGATGTCAATACCAAGTTTTAATGAAATCAGCTTAGGCACATTTTTTTTTAACTTAGCCGCTGACTTCTTCAAGGCTGCATGTCAACCGGTGCTCTTGTGACTTTTTATATTTTTGTCCTACCTTGTCCGTTGCTAGGGAGGTTACGTATGCGCAATAGAAATACATCACGTCTGACGGTAATTTGGGAATCGAGAATTGTCATGCTCTAGGAACAAATATTGCACTTCAAATGCTAAAACTATTGGTCATCATTATACCAGTTTATTCAAAATTTACATTGTTTGAAATCAAAGTGTTTAGCTATACCTGTGGTCGTACTCCTGTCAGTGTCATACCTTCTCTTTGGTCTGTTTACCTGAGCCATCCCTCCTGGGAAGATCAGTAACTGTACATTAGAAATTTCCCATGAGGCAAAGCTGCCACGAATCATTGTGGAAATGTTAAAATTAAGATAAACTGTCATATGATTATAATTAAACATATTTCACAGTCTGTAATTCTTTATTTGTTGTCTCTGTGTTTGTTTCGATGATATCAATGTGCGGTGAATCACACTGAGGGGAATCCAATGGTGGATAGTACTGGCGATATGAGAGGTACGCTATGATCAATCCTAAAATAGAACCCACGAGAACATCTGAAATTAACCAAAGAATTAATTCATCAGTACATATCAAATTCTTGTAATAGAGGGTCATACTTCATTGTACAATTACCCCTCGAGGTATCTTTAACACACACTATAAAACCAAAATAATCAGTGTAAAAGTACTGGATAGTACTGGCTTCTTTGTGACATATTTGATGTTACCACAAGATTCAGTTGTAAAATGTACTATTCAGCAGTTTGCAAATGCAACAAACATCACGACAATTAGCGTTTTTGTTCTAAAATAACCGCTGATTAATCATTTTTACTCCCCATTAGGACGTAGAATTTCTGCCATTCAGGAATGGAATCTTGGTCATGCATGGACGAATTTTCTTGATGCACATCAACCCCCCCTCGATTTAATTCAAAATGGCTGACTGATGGTCATTTTGCCTTTAACAAATGCTGTTTTTATTGCTATATCGCTAACCATATGGCTAGACTGATAATGTTCAGACTTTACACATACATCATGTAACACATTTGTACATGCATCTGTTTCAGAATCAGATTCAAGATGGCTGCTCATCATTTTCATGCTAGAAATGCATTACGAATGTCACGGGCAGGTGACTCTGTATCATGTCTGTCACAGGAGTGTAAATAATTATTTGGCATTACCGGTAATGTTGACAGTCACTAAAAACTGAACAGGGAATTGTCACTGACGATGACTTGCCTTTCATGACTTTATGCATCATTACACATGTTGTTCCTAAATATTTTGGACTAAACGCGCGATACTAAACAAAAACATGTCATCATGGACACGCCAAGCCTCACACAGCAGGTAAATTCTGACCCCTGAAAATGTATTAGAATGCCAGTTTCCACAAATACAACCTAAAATCCAAGTTGAAATCATTATATATCAGTAAAATTACTAATATTTTAATGATTCAGTATCCCAAAAAATAGATTTTTGGTTTATATGCAATTCTATTGGAGATGTGCTTCTTATAGAGCAAATACTATATTATGTATTATGACAAATTAGTATATTTGCAACACCTCCTGCCAAATAGGCAAACTTTTACATTGTAAATACCAAATAGCTTCCCTTTCTGTTTATAACAAACTAGAATAATTACTATCAACACAACAAACTCATTCCCTTCAATTTTATGAATATTTATAAATTTCATAATTCAAACTGAAATGAAATGTTTCTATTGGCCGATGGAATAACATTAAAATGTTTTCAAATGATGACACAGCACACTGTGATTTTTGATTGGCTGGTTGGGTTCAATTGCCATTAAAAATGAAGGGAATGGATTTGTTGTGTTGAGAGTATGACTGTCATTGAATATCGAACTACCATAGTTACTCAAACAGTGTAAAGGTTTGATCATTCAACAATTTAATCCAAAACAAAATACTATGCAAGTTACCTAATTATTTTGCATGAATTTGAACCTCATAGACCTTGTACCAAATTTGCATAATTCTTCCTTAGATGTGCACTGGCTTACCTTGCCAATGGTGTTTGTAGTCTTGTGTTCTTGATATTGCAATAAAAGTAGCAACAAGGAGTGGTATAATGGGTACACAGAGCCGCCATGCCACACCACGTCCCCTCGGGTGAAAACAATGTAACTTTCCTGCTAAATACATGGCAGTGAAACCAAGGCCCGTGAAAGAAACTGAAATAGTGAAAACAAGATCTGTCAATTATATAGAATCCAATACTTTTTGACCTCCATATTGTAAGCAAAATTACAAGAGTCCCTTAGCGAGTGAAATTACTGAAGTCTAAGTGAATTTAAACTTGGTGATTATGTTAACTTTTTACAACATGAATATAACTTTGAAAAACATGTACTGTATTTGCTCTATTAAAAGAACATCTTCATCTGAAAAGCGTATAAACCAATAATTGCATTTGTTGTATATTCAATCAATAAAATATTATTTATTTTGAGCATGGAAAAACCTCTGTAATTTACATAAGTACATGTAAATATGGTAAATGTTTATAGAAATTAACCAAAACTAGTGACGTCATATGAGGAGGGGAATGCATTGACAGAGACATGTATGGTCTGTTGATTTCATCATGGAATACAATTACAGTATCTAATTTGGCTAAAAATATTATTTTTTTCAGCTTTTCAAATAACTAGACCATCCTGTCAAATATCACGTTTATTCTATTAAGCTAGGAGTCAATTCACTCACTGCATGACATCCAGTCTTGTATTGTTAAATTCTAAAATATGACAAAATTGAGAAAATCATAGGCACTGTTATATTAATGACAAATCAAATTATTTTTTCCAATGTTTCTCCCCAAAATTCTATTGTGTTTTGCCGGCAGTTTTGAAGTCGAAACACTAATGTTTCCTAGCATTGTGTATTTAGGAGGAGACAACTTAACACCTATTGGCTGTCAATTACTGAGATACAGAGGGTGACGGCAGCCTGCCTCAAGATGTTAACAAAGGTATGGAGGTGCAACTTTACATAGTTACTTTACGTACTGTTCCCCTTTGATAAAGCTCTAAAAAACTTGCTGCAATGAGTTGAATCCATGTGGGCATGGATGCCGGGATGTTGTCCAATAAAACGTACTATAAATAAACCAATGTGTGTGCTTTCTATCCATTCTCAATGCATAACCCCCCCCCCCCCCAAGACCCCTCGATAAGTCAGGATCCTTGATAAGTCATAGTTTTCGCTTGGATCCCGGCACCCACCACTTAGCAAGAGACCACTGTATTATCAAAATGAAAAATCACATCATATTTCATTTTTTATTGTTTTGTATGTTTTGTAATATACATTTTTAATTTAAGTGTAAATTTTAGAAATAGTAATTGGCCCTGGGCAGAATGAAAGCAGCTAATGTACACACAGTTTTGGAAAACAATGAACAAATCTGGACAATTAAGTTACGTTTTTAGATTTGTTAATGATAGGAAAAACAAAAGTAAACTACAGATCAACTATAGAGGACAACATTTTCCTCTAACTTACATGATGAATGCCCACTGGGAAAACTTTTTCTTCCTTGAATCACGACTTCTTCATCACCATTACACTCTAGATTATCAGTCATGTGACCATCAGGAAAACATCGAAAGAAGAAATCAGGTCGTGGCCTAGAAATAAAATGTATTACCGATAGTATAAAGGTTCATAAACAGGTTTTGACAAAATATTTGAGAGTGCATAATTTTGTTTAATGCAACATGTACTGAAAGCTTCCATGGATAGCCAATATGAATAGTATATAATGGTGTCAGCAGCTGATGTGTTATCAATTTTCATATTGAAGCGGGAGGGTCGTCACCTGCCCACGCGCGGGAATTGAGTCCCAAGCGACGATAACAATACACACTAAAGACACAAGGGCTCATTGGTAGACACTTGTTTGTAAACAACAACACACTATGGCCATATGACGCATGCGCAGGTGACAACTCCCCCGTTTTAAAGTAGATGCTTGATCGTATCACTATATGACCAAAACTATGCCAGGATAGGGTATTCACTAGATGTACACCCTGTCAAAGAGCCAATTGTACCTGTGATCAAATAACAATCAAATTCCAAAAACTCGTATTAAACTTGAATCTTGTGAAATTTATCAGTGTAAGATCCAACTTTAAGAAGTGAACATGGTCTATTGTGAACAGCAGAAAGTACATACACCACTTGAGATTTCATTTGAACTTTTATCGTTATCAAAGACTAAATTAATTCTAAGCCCTGGAAAAAACAACTTATATTTGCATCCAAAAATACATGATGAAATGATGGGATAGAAAAATTTGTAATGGACTGTCTTGCTGAAGTCAATAGCATTTGAGTTATTAAGTTGGACTCATCATAGCAGAAATCAGATACAATTCAAGCTGAAAGAACATGTCTCAACTACAGAGACCTTCAACATTTCCATGAAATTGTGTTATTTCAAATTTCTAGCAAAGAACCCCCTCCCATGAGTTCCATCTCCTTTCTACCTAGATTATATGCATGCTACATTTGTTGTGTTATAAAACCACAGATGTATGAGGAATCTATTTACCTGCCAACTGTCAGCTTCACACTATTTGTAATAACAGCATTTAAACAGAGAGCGAGAGAAAGAGCTGTGTACAGAATTACCAACATTCAAATCTTTAGTTATATAATATTTTCTCTATTAATAGCGCATGTGACAAAGTTGTGTCTAATGTCAAAATAAGTTGTAACATAAAAACCCAGCATATGTATATGATTCTGTAATGATGAAATGAAATGCAATGATAAAATGACAATATTATTGATATCAATATATTAATGATGGTCTGAACCTAAAGAAACAGTTGAATTACACTCTCAAATCAAATACAATACTTACCTAGAAAGCTCTGAATGGCATCGTTTTTTTTTCTTTGTGAGATGAACAATATTGCAATAACGCCCAATGGTAGAAATATAGCAATACACTGAAAAGTAGACAGATAAAAATATTAGTATTTATAAAATAGCATTATTAATACCAGTGAATTTTTATGATCAAGACCCTGTTACCATGGATATGAATACAATATTGTTTTCGAAAACGAATAAAGGAGAAGCTATTTAAACAAGACATGAATGTCACAGTCCTCGTTATTTAATTATAAAATACTCATGTTAAAATAATACATGGAACATTTCCATAAACAATTGATTTCATATGTACTCTATGTGGGTACAACTCATCATAAAGTGATTTCTCTTAATCTGATAACTGAAAACTTTCATTGACCCGGGTCCAAAATCTTAGAGTACACATGTGAAACCAAACTATGTC